GTCATCAGGTGTGGGGAGGAGTGGCAGTCAGGGTGGGGTGTAGGGTAGTGGTTGGGGTTAGATGAGAGTGATGGGGGGCACCTCTGTCTTGGTCCCTAGTGGTCAGGGCTGCATGAATGGAAGGATTTGTGCCATTAATCACCAAGAGGGTGGGGGAGGGGGAATCATGCTCCTCTGGTTACCAGGCAAGGCTGCCTGGGCCCTTCCCATTGGCTGAAGCCAACAATCAAGACCTTATCTCACTCTGGGTCTGTCTACGCACTTACTCCATGTCCTGTTGGGAATTCCCTGAAGTTGCCTTCTCTGCTTCTCAACTGGGATTGCTGCTGTCTTTGCCTCAAGATGGCTACCCTGTGCCAGGTGGGCTTGCAGGGCCCCTCAGCTCTGTCTCTTCTCATTCACTGTTTTCAGTCAGTTTTTTCTTCCAGTCAGTGTTTGATCTAGTTCTTATCCTTTCATTTGATGCTCTGGGTTCCAGGATTGTCTTCTGTATCTGTTTCACTTAGTTTCTTGAGTCTTTGCTGTAGAGTGATGGTGTGGTATGTCTAAGCTCCCATTTTAGCCAGAAGTACTTACAGATACCTTGCCAGAATGCTTCCATTCTTCTTGTTGCCTGACCTATGGATTTTGGGACATATGACTGCCAGAATCTCCAGCTTGTTGCCTGACCTACAGATTTTGTGGCCTGCCCCCTACACTGGCTCTGTTTTTCTAGAGAACCCTAAGCTGTCTGTGTATGAAGGTATTCAATTTAATGTTATCTTAACTGTGAATAAAAGAGGGGAAGATTAAGCAAACAATGGTCTACTAATTGAATAAAACATTAGGTAATTGTTACAATAACATTGTACTGAACACTTTAAAGAGGAGGATGTAAAAATGTGTAAACTGTATACTTAGTAATGGAAGTAGACTACAAATGTACATATTCATGATTATTCCTACTCATATATGTATATTCCTTCATTCAAGAAATCTCGTTGAGCACCGACTATGTGTTGTGCTGGATGTAGAAGACACAAAGGTAGAAAAACAGGTTCTTGTTCTCACTGAAGGCCAGGCTGCCTGGAAAACAATTATTCAAACAAATGGAAAAGTGTAGTAATTCACAAAACTCTACTGAAGGGCAGGAGGAGAACTAACTGCTGAAGATACAAGGAAAAGCTTCATAAAGAGCTAAGATGTATAGGCAAAAATTAAAAGGCAATGTAGACACCACACAGCAATGTTCATTGCAGCACTTTTCACAATAGTCAAAAGGTGAAAACAATAGGAATGTCCATTGACAAATGAATGGATAAACAAAATCTGTTGTCTACATACAATGGAATATTACTGAGCCCTAAAGAGAAATGAAGTCCTGATGCATGCTACAACATAATTGAACCTTGAAAACATTATGCTGAGTGAAATAAGTCAGATACTAGAGAACTAATACTATACAATCTCATATATATGACATTAGCAGATATACAGAAACCAAGGATTATTAGTGGTTACCAGTTGTTGTTTTGCTTTTGGGATGGTGAGTTTTTGTTAATGGTAGTAGAAAAATTTGGAAAAGGAGAGTGGTAATGGCTGCATAACATGAAGAATATACAATGTTACTGTATATGTGGAAATTTTTTGAATCAAAGACAATTTTGCTGTACATATTTTCACTATACACACAAAAATAATCATGGTGTTTTTTTTTTTAAGGGCAATGTAGAGAAATCAGCTGTATAAATGTAAGGGATTAAAAGTGACTTAAATTTAAAAAAAAAATCTTTATTAAGATATAATTCACATACCATAAAAATCTCCCATTTAATATTAGAGTCATGGAGTTATGCAGCCATTACTCCCATATAAGCTTAGAACATTTTCATCATCCCAAGGAGTGCCTTACTTTTTTTCTTCCAAATTTCTTCCAATGTTAAATATTTTTATAATGAAGAATCAAAATGTAAAGACACAGGCCTCTACTGCCTGGTCATTGTAGGAAAGCTTTATGTGGCATGAGAAATAAGCCAAAGTATGTCATAATGCTTTGAATTTTTATTAGTGATAAAGTAAATTGATACATGAGCATCTTCACAGGTATCTACACATGTATTTAAATAAAACAAGAAAAAGCATTAAGTTCTAAGAGTGGAGTTTCAGTGGTGATTAGTACATAATGTTTACTGTATAAACGTCTTCAAATTTATAAAATGTAATTGGTCCATTTTTCTATCTCTTAAAAACCAGCTGCAAGAATTTAAAAAGAGATTTGTAAAGATAGGCTCTAAGATGAGCACAGCACATCATGAATTACTGAAGCTATTGGCAATGTTATAATGAGAAGCAGATATATTCAGTGCATTGTCAGAGTATTGTCTGTGTGGAGGGGCTGCTCAAGAAATATGACTGGAAGGATCACCTGACTTCATTTTTCTCCCTTCCTCCAATTGATTCCACATCCAAAGTAGCAGAGAGGACCACAGTGCACAGGATGGCCATCTGTGAAATGCCCTTCAGTAGCAGTGCTTGTGGGCAGGCAGAAGGCCATCCCTTCTAGGAAGGGGCTGCTCTGGCTAAGACTGAGGAAGACTACTGTTCTGTGTCCCAGTCTTCCTCATGGAATCTCACTTCCTCCAGATTTCTGTATGACCCACCTCCACAAGGCCTTGTGTTTAGCTTGCCTAAAAGTTTTGAGTTCCTTCAGAAATGTTAGCTTCAAAGGCAAAAAGAGCACTTTCTCAGGGTTTGTTATGACTGAAAATCCCGAAGATCCAATTTCTACTGGTGAAAGTTCAGGCACTATGACAGGAGTTAGGGTGTTATTTGTGGGCAGAGATACCTGTCTGGCTTCCCTCAAGTCATACTATAGAGAAGGTCATCTACCTGTAAAAGCAGCTCTAGCCAGAGGACTAACGTCTGGACTGCCTGAAGATGGTGTAGGATCAAGCTCTTTGAGCCACTTGCAATTCTCATCCACAGTCATTCACCAAAACTGGGAGCCAAGACTTCAGTTTTTGACAGACTTGAAGCAGCTACCAGGACAGGATTTAATTCACAGGCAGGGAGAATATTAACTGCAACACTGTGTTTTTCCATATGTCTTTCATTTGGTTTCCAATGAAGTTCTGCAGCTGTAGCCAAATGGCTTCTCTCCAGGTTAAGGCATGCCTTAAAATTTAGTGTCTGTGAGTTTGGCTCATCTTTCAAATAAAATGTGATTGTTGAAATTAGGATACAATTTTTTTTCCAACTGTTTTGTAAACTCCAGGATTTTCATCAGTTTGTTCTATCATACTTAATATTCAAGATCTTAAAAAAAAAATAACTAATGCCAGTGTAAACATGCTTCAGATACATAGGTCTATAAAATATTGCACATAAAAATTTGTTCAGCATTCCTCATTGTAATTTTTCATTATTATAAAAAGGATACAAAATTGTGCAGACTAAATGAATTTGGCTGGTTGGGTTTACTTCAAATATCATAAAATCACACATGATTATGGATTACTTACAAGAGTTTTAAAAATAAATTTTTTGTGATGACTAAATTCAAGATGATGGGAAAATAGCTTAAATAAAAGATTAGTCTCCAAAGTTATTCACTATAATGATTAGCAGTAAAATTGAGTAGTAAAGTTGGAATAAGTAATTTTAAATAAAATCTTAAATTCCTATTTTCTAAGTTAAGCTCACACCTGTATATTTATTTCCTTATTTATGTTCAATATATTTTCTCCATGTTTCTATGTATGAGGCATAGCAGAGAAAATGGGTATTTAACCCAAAGCTAAATACTGGTGTTGATTCTTACAGATATTAAAAATAATGTGTTTATCCATATTAGTAAAATTACTTTTAAAATTAATGAACTCTAGACATTTTAACATTACTTTTAAACACTATGCAGGGTGAAGATTACCTTGAAATCAATGAATTGTCAACTAATTCAACGGAAAGAATTTTTTTGACAAGTGAAAGGAAATATAAATGCAACATTTTAAGCTAAATTAAGCAGATGTGAGTCCCTGGTGGTGCAGAGGTTAAGGAATTTGGCTGTTAAACAGAAAGTCAGTGGTTCAAACCCACTAGCTGCTCTGTCTGAGGAAAAATGAGGCAATCTACTTTTGTAAAGATTTACAGCCTTGGAAACCCTATGGGTCTCTATGAGTTGGAATTGACTTGATGGCAGTGGGTTTGGTTTAGTTTTGAGTTCCTGGAGAGTGTGAATAAAAGGAATTTCATGTAGAAAAGAGCCAGGTGTTAGATGAAAATGACTCCTAACACCAATTTGCTTTTTTCTTAACATTGTCTAAACTCTGAAGAAGCTTCTCTTAATTGATTTATCCGCACAAAAATGGTCGTCTTAGAAGGAAACTGAGTGACTAGAAAACAAAAGAACTAGCTAACCAAATCTTAATTCCCCAATCCTCTGGAAGATCAGATTCTCAACCTAGAGAAATGGAAAATAAATAAATAAGTTTTCATCCTCACAAGATTATTCTTTGTAGTTTCAAAAGTACTTTCACAGTACCAACAACATATTGCTTGTCTCCCTGAGCCAAAATGTCATAAGAAATGTTTCTTTTCCATAGGGAGGTGTCAGATATTTCATTGGATACAGTAGTGCTGGAAGGTCCTGGTTCACCTTCTAAATTCTCTAGTGATTCAGACGTTTCATTTTTGCAACTTAAGTTGGATTTACCTGGAAAGAAACTCAAGTTCTCGTATACATTTTAAAGTGTCTATCAAATACACAATGACTAAGGCAAAAGAAATCTTCCACTATTGATGACTGTTTCTACAGTGTTGAGGTTGTTCCATTATCCCAGGAGGGTCATTCAGCTCCCACGGTAACGTCTCCAAAGCTCGGAAGATGAGGTGATATTTTTAGGGGGCTTCCATTTCCTAGCTCACTGGCAAGTGTAGGAAAGCCTTTCATTAGCCCTTATGACCTTTCTTTCCTTTGAGCAGGACCAGTGTTTGATTTTTTTTTTTGTCTTTGTTTTTCCTTTTCATGCATCAGGGGTTTTGTCATCTGTCAGTTGTTCTCTGTCAGTCATATCATCTTGTGGAGGTCTTGCTCTATCAAAGAATCCACACTATGAGAAAGAAAAATGAGCCATAAAAATAAGTCATTTTGTGGAACCCCTCACATATGAAACTCCTTATTCTAAGAATGCCAGGTAATAGTTTGAGTTTTCATTTTAGATATTTTCTAAAGAACTTGCAGTTCTATGAATATAACCTGCTCAATGCTCCAAATTAGGAGGTGAAAGCAGTGTGTCCTTTAACGGCAGTTTTTGGGGGTGGGGGGATAAGGCAGGTGGTGGAGGGTTTCTGTCCTTCTCCTGCCAACTGGTGGTGGAATGACGGTTTTATACAGACCATTTATAGCCCTTGGATATTTTTTCGGGAATTATAGCAATGTGTCCCAAGGTCTCACTTTCTGATTCCCTGCTTGTTTTCTGGAGCCAGTGGCACTATTAACTGCTGACCAGGAAAGGGGAATTTCTTTCTGAAATGTACGATGGGCGGCCTTGGGCTGGATTACAGGAAGAAGCAAGATGGATGCATATCCCTTTGCATTTGATGGAACATATAATATGTAGAGGAAAATTAGACTTATTGTTTTTATTTCAATCCTAGAACCAGACAGATAAAGAAATCTTAGTGACTTTCCATAGATTAACCAGCAATTTAGGGAAGAAGCAATTCTAGAATTTTCTTTCTCTTTAATTTCAAAATAGTATTTTGTCGAGGAGAAAATAACTTTTCCTAGAAACCAGGAACCTTAATTTTATTTATTTGTTCTTGGTGTTTTTATGTTGGGAGCCCAATTCACTGGGTTTGGCTTATATCTTTAGATTTGTCTTGGTTGCCTAGGGTTAGTGGAACATTCCTTGAACTGGCATATGTCATTGTATCATTTAATCTTTGGAAACACAGTTACTATAAATAACAGAATCACATAAAATCATTTATAAAGATGCAAAATAGCTAACTTGAGTTCAGCGTGGCACATGACAGCTGATAACAATTAGGAAGGCATTATTTATCTTATACAGGTGAAATTTTGTAACTGTAGAAGTCTACTAACCATGTTGTTAGCTGTTAAAAAATAAAACACTTTGTGTTTTTAGGGAACCACAAAAGTGGTTAGCTAAGATGGGACTGGGTTAATTGTGACATTGTTTCTAGTTTGGAAAGGAAAACTCTGAAACTTGGCAGCTGCATAGGTTGTTGGGCCAGAAATTAATTCTTCAATAAAATTAAGAATTAACTAATTCCTCAAAAGAATTAATAAAATAAATTGAAGATGGAGACAGATTATTTGGCAAGATTAACAAATAAATCCAGGAATATTATAATATGCACAATCTATTGGGCCTAATTGATAGCTCAAGTAAAAAAAAATCAGAATTGATCTATATTAATTGCAACTGTGTAGGCTTTGTAAAGAAAAATCTCAGAGGGCTGAGGGCAGGTCTATGTCAATGAAAAGCTTAAGGCCTTGGCTAATTATACAAAAAAA